CTTTGTGGGCACTAGATTTTGTAAAGTTTTCCAGACTTTTTTGACATCTCCCAAAGCAGATTCAATATTTCTCGAGACAAAACTTCGCTTCTCTTGTCGAATTTGTGCTGTTACATTATTTCTGGCTTTTTTATATTTGGCCCAGTCATCATCCTTCTTTGATTTCTTCGCTTTATTCTTTAAGCGATCTCTAGTGCGAATCAATTGTAAAATATCGAGCGTCATCCATGGAGAATATTTAAGTTTAACTCGTGTTCTCCGGAGTGGCGCGTGTTTATCAATGGCCGTTAATAAAAGAGACAGAAACACTGAGCAAGCCTTTACTGGGTCACTAATAGTATAGACAACATCAAAATCTATATCACCAATGTCTCTTTTGAAGGCTTCATTATCAAAATTTCTCAGACATCTTCCAGTTTTGTACCTATGATAATTATTGAATCCAGCTCTGGATTTACCAAGGACACAATAAATCATGTAATGATCAGTAATAGAAACTTCAACAACACCCCTGTCAATTATCTTTTCATTACAGTTACTGAAAATTAGATCAACGATTGTCGCGGATCTCTGTGTCACCCGAGTAGGTTTTTCAATCAACTGAGTACAGTTGTATGACTCCATTATATCAAGAAGTTTTTTTGTGTGGTTTAGTATAGGGCTATTCATCACGTCACAATTAAAATCACCAAGAACATGATATGGCATTTTTAAGTTATCTATTTTTTGAATAACTTGCTCAAATTCCTCAAACACCTTCATGTTCGAATTCGGTGGTCGGTACCAGCAAACAACTAGAAATGGTTTCTGTTTATCAAGTTTAATTTCAGTTATAATCATTTCAATATCTGTATTTTGCAACAGGTCATTTCTTTTCAAAAATTCGATACCATTTCTAATAAAATTTGCAACACCACCACCGAATTTGTTTCTATCACGCCGTAAGATTGTGTACCCTGGTATACATAATTCACTGTCATCAATATCAGAACAGAGATGGGTTTCACTAAGTGTCATTATGTCCATACCACAACTATTTACCAAAGATCTTATTTCATCAATATGTTTTTTTAAAGATAGGCAATTCAAATGGCCTAACTTTAGTCCCTTTTGTAATTGTAATTTAGTTATTTCATTCTTAACAACGTCTAAATCATCACTTACGATTGATTCATTGATACGTTCTATTTCCCTACTCGTGTCATTGTTCGTTATAAAGGAAGGACTTGAACACTCGGAGAAGGGCAACTCTTTCCAGAGACAAACATCACATTTCCAGTCAGAGTTTGATCGGAAAAAGAAATCTGATACATCGGAACATTTCAAATGACCCCATTTGTAACAGCTAATACATAACATGGCATTTTGATTATTTCTTACTGGTTTTTTACAAAAAGTGCAAGGATATTTGGGAGGCATTGGAAGAGAAAAGTGCACATATGATGAACAAAACAAAATCGCAGATGTACAAAGGATTCAATATATACAACTTAAACGAGAGTATAATATCAAATAGTGACAGAGGGTATATGCCATAGTTCCTTTTATTCAAATACAAAGTTCAGGTTTTACGAGGAGAGTTCCAAAGTATGTAGGTCACTTTCATCCCTGATAGCTCTATTTATTGTTTTCCCATTTGATGCTTGGAGTTTTGCAATCACGCGACCATCACTAGACCATGCAGTGAGAACATTCTTGATCTTCTTCACGCTCTTCAAAAGCTGTAAGTTGGCTTTTGTTAACTGTTCTTGAATAGCAACATCAGTGCCTTTCAATCTCCGACGGCGAGAGATTACCGCATGCCGGGTCCGATACGATGTAAACTTGACAACAATGGGGCGCGCTCTTCTCTCGGGTTTTCCATTCGTTCTCTTCGGTTGCTTGTTCGGGTCACCGACTCTGTGCGAACGATCTATGTCATCCTTGGAAATAGTCACTCCAAGGGAATCCCGCGCTAATTGGCAGATGACGTCATCCGTAGATTCATTGACCTGCTCTTCAACACCAAATATTTGGAGACAATTTCTTCGCGAATACTGATCAAGTTCAGCTACAGATAAGCGAAGGTTGTTCATCGTGGTGCGTTGATCCGTAACAATGGTTGAGAGACGTTGGATCTCCTCAGCCTGCGACTTGTTCTTGAACTCAGCATCAAACAATCGAGCCTCCTGATCATCCAATCGATTATGTAACAAAAGAAATTCTTTCTGCACAGCCTCATGGATTGTAACATGGATTGATTCAACTAGCTTTTTGTTCTCATTTTGAAAACGTTCAAACATTTCATTCATGACTCTTTGGGTGACGTCATCGTTCTTTGCTGAAGACGCCATATTAGATAGGTATAAAAAAAAATAAAAAAAATGTCCAGTGATGACGATACAGATAAGAAAAACACCAAGTAGGAGATGTAGAATATGAAAATGGCTCACTTTAGGTAGCTTCTCCTTTCACGGACAGGCATTTCCTCCGTCAAGTAGTGTGGAGGCAAATGGTATCACATAGTCACAGACACTTCACAGACATACGCTATAACAATTCAACACGACAGAGAAATAGCATGAAATCACAGGAAACTCCTGAAAATACTTATATTGGGATATTGTTCTGGTTTCTGATGATAAAATATGTCATGAGGTTTGATTCCAGTGAGTAAATTGCAACAAGGTTGGTGATCTTACGTCAGATCAGGAGCGACTGTGTCGTAGGATCCTTACACCGTAGGCCCATGTAGTTCACCACAACAGTGGGAAGAAGAAAAAAACCGTAGCCAGAATCATCCACTGGAATAGCTTAAAATGAGTGTCTTCCTGACGATATGAAGTGAAGTTCTTTTCCACTGGATTCCAATAGTTATTTTCCAAAAACTTAGAATATCCAAATCACAGGAAGAATTCAGGCAATTAAGGTATAAAATGTCCTGAATTGGGAGCGCAATACAAACACGTCCGCACGTACAAGATCTACGGATGTTGATTAGTTGGGTAGTATGATGATTGATTGGTTGATTGATTGGTTGACTGGATGATGGATTGATTAATTATAGTTCATACATTGAAAGGACAATGAAACCCAACAAACAGCTCGGCTAAAATATTTCTTCTCTCTTTAAGAGTCGAAATTAACGTTTTAAAAGAAGTTAGGAACACCGTAACAAATATTGCAGTAACTTCTTTCTTTTCAATATACTGCTCCAAGCAGGGGCGTACGCAGGATTTTTTTCAAGGGGGGGGGGGGGTTTAAAATCTGGCCCAAAATATTTTGCTCCCGAAAATTTGAAAATCGCGCCGGCCGAAAAGTCGCTCAGTGGGGGGGTAAGCGGACACTTTTTTTTTTTTTTGGTAATCCAAAAGAAAGAACGCAACGACTCAGCCAACCGAAAAGTCGCTCAGTGGGAGGGTGGGGGGGGGGGGGGGGGGGGGGGGGGGGGTAAGCGGACACTTTTTTTTTTTTTGGTCTCGAAATTTGAAAATTTGACTTTTTTTTCCGTTGGGGGGGGGGGGGGGGTAAGGTCACTTTACGTTAGCCGTGGGCATAATTTTTTTTGAAAAAAAAAAAAAAAAGGGGGGGGGGGGGTTTTTAGTTTTTTTTAGGGGGGTTTACACACATAAAAATACCAAAGGGGGGGTTTGAACCCCCAAACCCCCCCCCCACCCCTGCGTACGCCCCTGGCTCCAAGTATGTTGGGAGGGCCACAGCCCTATGAAGTCTCAAAGCATGTTTATTTCACATTCTCACTCTTCTTCTACACCTTCTCTCCTTGCCCTCTTCTTCCTCTGTTTTTTGCTCTCCTCCCATTTATTCTACTCCTTCTGTTTCTTGTTTCCCTCCCTCCTCCTTTCCTTTCTTTTCTCCTCTTACTTGTCTCCTTCTCTATCTTTTTTTCTCTCTCTCTCTTCTTCTTCTTCTCTTTTTATACCGCGGCATATCTGAACAAGCCATAATGCAAGCTTTTCTTGCAAGTGCCTCCATTCTAACAGGGCTCGCTGGCACAACGGGAGATGGTACGTGCCTCCTCCCCGGCATAAAAAAGTAGGGGAAGGGTAAAGAAGATAGAAAGAAATGAAGATTCCTAGAGTGAAGAGCCCCCCTCCCCCTTTTTTTTTTACTTCTCAGATAATTGTGTATTCAAAAGGGCATACCAAAAACCTTATATTTTTTTTCTTTTGTAAAGCCCCTCTAAAATGTTGGGGCCCCCAAATGTTCATCACTTAAGCTGTATCATAATGTTAAAGGATTTTTAATAGAAACATGTTTAAAGTAGAATATTGATGAAAGAATACAACACTGAGGTTTTCTGCTTACCACAGCACACCCAAATTATGTATTCTTTTATCAATATTATTTTTTCTCTAAACAATTTTTTTTTTTTTTTTTTTTTTTGGGGGGGATCTTTGCAGCAGCGTGTATCAAATTACATCCTCTTTCACATTATGATACAATTTAAGTGAAGGCACCATAATGATTACAGTACACACCAATACTACTAATGCTACATAATAACTTTTCTGATTGATTCCACACCGTTTCTTTCACAATGCAATCGCATGACCAGAAATCAACTTTATTTTTAAGTATGACTTTTACATTTTGAAGGATATTGGTTGTTTGAAGAGAAAGCAGGAAATTATTCCACGGAGAATGAGCTGCTGATGCAAACGCTCTATCCCCAATTTCTTCTAGTCCGGGTTTTTTAAAACAAATACGAAACGTATTTATATATATCCGGATGCATATCAAGGGCAGTCCACCCGGATATGAAGCTAGTTTTATTGCAAGCAGAAAAAGTAGAAAAAACAGATCATCAGTGAAAGTTTGAGTTTCACTTTTGCTGTCAGCTATCTTCGCTCCATGCAATGGTTTCGAGGTAGCAGCTTGAACAAACCCTAAAGCCCACAATTACGTTGCAAAATCTATTTAATCTAGTATAAACGATGCGTATCCGGTAGTCCTTGTACTTTCCGGTCATGAGATATGTTGTTGATTTTAGTACCACAAAGCAGAAGTAATATATCCATTGACTTCCGTTGTATTCTGCCTCCAAATTTGGGCAGATCTTCAAACACGATCGATCCTGCATACTGTCGATGCTCATGTAGGTCGACGGTCGCAGCATATCTCTTCTTAACAATCGTTCAACAAGCATTACTTTTATTTGAAGAACGGAGGCATTTCGATTCCATTTCTATTTGTCTTATCATATCCACCGCGCAAGGTTCTCAAGGCGGCTCTGGCGAGGATATTGCTAAATTAACTACGAATTCGTCAATGACTTGTAGAAAAAGAAACTTCTCAGCTTGTTGAGTTTCGAATCATCTGTTTGGAGAATCATTAATGATAATATGAGGGACTTGGAAGTAATGAGACGACTTGTATTCCTACTGATCAGTGTTTGGTCAGTTCTTGGCAATGAGACCATGACTGAAGCAACGGATTGTTTGGCGGACCTTGATAGTAGTAAGTGGACGCTACAACTTGTACATGCATTAACAAAGCATTTTATTACATTTAAAAAAAAAATATTTCATTCATTATATTGTATTATGTGATGTCAATGACAAGATTTATCATGAATATACATGTTAATTACTATTAGTATACTACGTATTATTGGAGCTATTGTTTTTCCCTTCATTTGCCTTGTTATTTTTTCTGTCTAGTCTCTCACAAGGCATAGTGCTCTAAGTCTCTTTCCTGTTTTCTTTTAGATTTTCTTTCAAATTTATTCCTGTTGCTTGAAAAAGGTATTATAGGGTGCAATAAAGAGATTTGAATAACAGGAACAGTAATCTAAAGTGCCGATTTATTACGACTGAATTTAAATGAAATGAGGAGATAATTCATTCAGCATGAATAATAAGCTAGAGCTTTGGAACCCGTGATGCCCCGTGATGTTTATATCTGAGCAGGCAATAGTAAAATTTAGAGGTTATATTTGAATGTTCGAGTAAAAGGAAAAGAAAAATAATGATATAGTAAATTATAATGATAATAATGAATATAATAACAAGAATAATAATTACAATGATAATGATAATAATAAAAATTATAATTAGCAGAATAACAATAACAATGAAAACAATAATAATAATAATAATAATGATAACAATGATGATGATAATTGCAATGTTACAATTAATAATAACAATAATGCTAAATAAAACCAATCGATAAATGAATACACAAATACAGAAAAGATTATTACCGTGTTTAAACAGTGATCCGCCTCGTGGCTTCAACCCTCGAGGCGGATCACTGTGTAGACTTATATATGAGCATAAAACGTTTACAGCAAAGCACCAGCCATGTGCGCACGTATCGGACACGGCGTCAAGCTATATTGCGTCCCTATGCGCCCCTAGACGGTGCTTTGCAGTACTTATTACAAAACATATGGAGCAAATTAATCATTATTTAATTGGGCGTGTTTTTTATACTGCATGAACATTTCATTCTTCAAAAGTTTTTTTAATTTACCAACAGTTCTATTATGTTAATTAACATTGTCTAGGTCATTCCAAACCTTAATTCCATTACAACTTATGAAATGTTAACTGATTGTAGATTTGGGAAGAAAGTGATGAAAATCTGCGTATTGACGGGTGGAATATGAGTGATAAGATGCATTTGTGCTAAAAAGATCATTGAAGATTACTAACTTAACACTATACTTCTTTTTTTCTAGTTTTTTTCTTCTTGTTCTTTGTAGAAAGTGTCAATAGTTAACAACCCTTTGGGAATTTTATTTGTCATATATCACATATTTGAAAGGTGTTGTAACGATTCAAGCTCTATGCTTATGCTTCATCACATCTGTGCGTTCATTCTTTAAACTGTATAATACTTGCAACTTGTCTTTGGTAAACCATTGTTATATTCTTTTTCATGTGATGTCAATACAAGTGGATTGTAAAATTGAAAATGATTTGTTATATCAAATTCTTTTTCATATGACGTTAACTCCTTGGGTTGTGAGGTATTTGATCACCAGCTGGTCCCAGTAAGCTTTTGCATTACTCTACTCCCACAGATAAGCTTGGTGAGCTTTCCTTTAAGGAAGAGACTACGAGCCAGGTGTTCTCCGATGAGTGCCATTACCGTGTTCTCCAGTGTGAGAGCTTTAATTTCTGTAATATACAGTGGTTCTTCAATGGCATCCCGTACGACTCCTGGAGTTTGGGCAACAACTCCGACACCAAGTATAAGCTAGAGCACAGCAACCAGACGCTCATTTTCCTTTCCACAGATGTCGACGCTGGAGGAACATACACTTGCGTGGTGTCGAATGGTGTGAGGAACATTACTCGAAGTATCAACATGAGTATCGAAAGTAAGCAGGGGCGGGAGATAACGGGTGAAGTGCTGGAAAGGAGAATAATAATGATAATAATAATATAGATTATAATAGTAATAATAATATCACAATAATAATATCATTGATAATAATAGTCCGGCAGCCATCTCGATATACCTTGTTTTAGGGTCTATAGTTTTTTTTTCTTCGGATTATAGTTCCTTAGACCATCAATTTGAAGAATTCGATTGCTGACACTCTGTCAGCATTGAGCAATTTGAGATATGTGACGTCATACAAAATGGCCGCCAAAATCCCCTTTTTAACCAAAATTAATGATATAAAAAGTTTTAACAGCATTTTACTACATTAAATGGCAGTCAAATATCTTAATAATTTTCTAGAATCATCACTAAATAAAAATTGCGATGCTGTATGATCACAAATGATATGCAAATTTGCATAATTCGGAATGGCGCCCTCTATAGACACATTAACTTGAATAGTTCAAAATGATGGCCAAATACCAATTTCTAACATGAGATTATCATATGTCATGAGTCAGATGCACTGGATACAGTGATTAAAAATTGTGCTGCACATTTATTTTTATTTTGTAATTTTATACTCGAAGAAAACATGGTTGAATTTTATGCTCTCTGTCCCATAGATATGAGGTGGCATATGGTGATAAATGCCCATTTTCAGTGACAGCGTTAAGAAACTAGATTTGTATTCTAAGGTACTAGATTCTTTTAATTAACCTACAAATTACGAACTACCGATACGATACAGGACTATATCCGTTTATAAGTTTGCTTCAAAATCTTGAAATTTGTTTAAAAGCCCTCTAAAGTGTTGGGAGCCCTAAAATATTCCATGCGGAAGAGGGTGTAATTTAACACTTAATTCTGCAAAGTGAGGTCGTGACTGTAATGTGTGCTTCCACACGCATGTTTGCAAATGAGCTCTCTTTTAATAACATTTTCTACAAACGCTTGAGGTAGTGAGGCAAGGTTTGGGGGTATTTGGAGCTCCTAGTCTTCGGACCCTTGATAGCCACACGTTGATACGAGCCTCTGACATTCAGTTGGTTGTTGACTGTCCATAACATGAAGCAAAGCATTGAGTAGGTTGAGTGATGACATATCGTCGCCGTTTTCACGAACCGGCACAGCCCAACGCGCAACGAAATAAGTACATTCTGAGAAAAACGCGTTTTACGTTTAGCCCGTTTTGAATTCGCCAGAAACATGCCTTATGTCAAATTTTATATCACAAAATACATATCAATGAAAGGAAAATATTCTGTATTTTCTATACATTCCATTTGTTAAGCATAATGACAATTACTATTAATATTACGAAGCTTTGGACTCTCGTGCCGGTTCGTGAAAATATTATTTTGCTGTTTACGTAGCAAAAATATTTTCACGAACCGGCACAAGCCACTGTGTCGTTTTTCCTATGTAACTTTACGCGCAAGACAAAAGCGCTCGCACTGTCTTAGCGCGTATTTTATTTTCACGAACCGGCACAACCGCCTGTGTCGCGTCGTCTAGGTCTTGTAAGCGCAAAGATATTTTCACGAACCGGCACAGCCCATTGACTTATAACGGCGCGTGCCGGTTCGTGAAAATATGAATCGTGCTTTTTGGCTCGTGTGTCGTTTTTGTCATTTGTGTAACCATGGATATCTCAAAAACTAAAGCGTTTTGGATGATCAAATTTGGTGAGATGAAAGATTGTTGATAACTTATGCTAAAAATGCAAAAAAAATAAAAACTACATTTTGAAGGGATTTCGGTGGCTTGTGCCGGTTCGTGAAAACGGCGACGATATGACCATGCTGCATCAACATTGCCAACTGAGTCCTAAGGGAGTCGAATCTTCTGCTTCATCACTTTCAGCATTGTACCCTATCCAATGCCAAAGTATGCCCCAAGAGTGTCGCATCCCGTCAACGGATGTCCTGCCAACATCGATGGAATGATATCTCCTAACTTGTCTACATTAGCAGGAACATCAATAACAGTTCAATTTGTGAAGGGGCGTCTCCATGGTCATTGGCGTTTTATAAGTCCGTCATGTAGATAATGATCGATGCAAAAGTAGTACGTAGACGTCTGTGTCATCCACTAGGACCCTAACATACATCTTCTCATTAGCATCAATTCAAATCGCTTGCTGTACTTCGATGTTGCCTGCTTCATCATAACTATGTTGTGGACAGACATTTCCTTGCCATGACATCACTGCCTGGAATCACTTCAACAGGAACCTCATCTTGACGGTAAAGGCCTGCTTGTGCTTTTGCCTATTTCTGAGCACCCAATCATCCTGCAGACTCGCGCATATAATTACGATGTCGATCAACTGTAGTTTGTTGTCATGAAAAGATAGTGAAGTTAGCAACACTAGAGACACGTTTCAACAACTTCTCTCCCTAGCTTTATTGATCTTTCCAAAGCTTTTGACTGAGTACAACATAAACGCCTATGGAAGATTATGAGCTGGATGGGCTTTCCATTATATATAATTCAACTCATCCAGTCGCTCTACCAATACCTAGAAGCAACAGTAACAAAAGAGAATGGCTACACCGAAAGGTTCACTATTGGTCAAGTTGTCCGTCAAGGCTGCATCCTATCACCATCTATGCTGTATTCATTATGAGAAAGGCATTTTATGGTCAAGTTTCTGTTGGTGGACGAACGATCACCAACCTAAGATACGCCGACAATACAACACTCTCTGGCGTATTGATGGGGAAGGGTTGGGGGGGGGGTTGGGGACAGTTAAACCCCCAAACAAAATTCAAACTGTTTTTTCTATATATTCGATACCAGTGATTTACAAATGTTGCTGAAATGACATGATTTTCCTGGGTTTTTTCTCACTTTTTAGTAAATTATTATTTGTTAAGCGTATGTTGGAAAATGACAAATCCTAAATTCACAGTCAAGCAAAAAAATATGCTTATTTAAAAGCCTACATGTCAGGGTCCGCAGAACAGCGGGGCTCAGGGGACTCGAGCCCCCTCACTTTTTGTATAAAGTATGTTGAAGAGAACTAGAAAGAAAGAAAGTGACCCGAGGTGAAATGAGGTATCAAAATATGTTCATCTTACAGTTAATAAATGCCTGAAACCCTTGAGCTTCCAGGGGCTGTGCCCCCTGAACACCACGCCAATTTGCGCTCCTCTCTTCCTGATCGTAAATACTTCACCCCCCCCCCCCCACCCCGATTTTAAAAAAGTTCTGCGGGACCTGCATGTAACATGTATGAGTGGTGGTGATGCAGATTGTTTTTCTGCCCCTCTAAGTGTTTTTGCTCAGTATGCCACTGACAACACTTATAACAAGAACATAAGAAGAACTACTAGAACTCTTTAAAAAAGAGTGAAGGATGCAAGTGAATAATTTGGACCCTACCTCAATGGGAAAAAGACCTAGATCATGACTGGTGGAAATTAACTACATGCAACAGAGCATGGTGGTTGATGGAGAAGAAGTTGATCAAGTGGACAAGTTTATATAATGTTCTTGGGTCAATGATTGTCAAGGAGGGTGGAAGCTCGGCAATATCTGCCTTTGAAATGTGGTGTTGGAGGAAGCTACTTGGGATATCATGAAGAGATTACAACACCAATGGACACAATTAATGTCCATCATCGGAGATCAACCGCCACTTGCTACCAGGATTAACGGTACAAGCTACAATAGTTTGGTCACGTTAGCAGAAGATCAGGAGACAACCTTGACAAATTATCATTCAAGGTACCTTTGAAGGAACACGTAACAAAGGAAGACTCAAGCTCAGATGGACTGACGACCTTCGGGAAATCACTAGCCACCCTCTAAATACTAAAGACACTCTACCGGATTGCAGGAGACAGATGCCGATCAAAAGGTCTCATCAAACGGGTCACAATGGTGAGCCATGATCTATATGACAACGACGACGACGACGAATAGTAAGAGATAGTTTCTTGGAGGGCAGCAGTGACGCGGGACTCAGTTGGAAGACTCTCGACCCGTTATGACCTCTAGATACTCTCGGATCTGTCAAACACCAAGCAAAAATCATCAGATTTTCATCCACAGCAGAGCACAACCATCAATGACTGTACAAGGTTGTTCCAGTGTCTCATGCCTGGCTGACATCTCAACTTTTGTCAAATTCTATAAGTCCGTCTTTGACATGGGAGTGCTCGTTTCCAGAATCATCAAAAAGTGCTGTTGGGACTGGTGAAAGCTCTTATGACAAAATGTCCTTGATATTGACCTCTCTTGAACTTGTCTGCAGTCCTATTACTCTGGAGTAGATCAACTTTTCATAGATTTTCGTATCCCAACATTGACTTCTTCATGGCAGCCATGGTTTGAACTTTCTTGGAAATTGTGTCATAGAATCCACCAGGTAAGGTAATATCTTTTGAAATTCATGCATCTGTCTAGTATAGATGTCAACTGCTTTATCCACATTCACTGACGTTGGAGCAATGCTGGTCTAAATAAAGCCTATCAATTGAATAATGATGTGTGCCGTAAAACCACTTCTCACCGATTTGATGAAAAATGAATTCTTTCATAGCCATTTTTTTCCTTGACATATGTAGGGTAGGTGTAGGGAATTGGAGACCACCAAGCTTGAACCCATCACTGTCTGTCCGTGTTGGCTCCAATATTGATATAGCGACATATGTGGCCTTAAACAACACTTCTGCATATATCCAATTCAATTCGAAGACTACAATGCGTTCTCTCTCCGAGAAAATTGGCAAAATTGACCAAGATATTAGCAATTTTGATCGTAAAAATTTGCTCTGATATAAAAACACAATTTTCACTGAATGTTGTGGTGTATGCAGATATTTAGGGGTGGCTCTTAAAAATTAGTTTTAAAAGGAAGTTTATGAAATGTGCCAACCATCACAGAAAGCTTATGGCCATTGTATGTTGTGAATGGGTGTTGCAATTCACATTATGAATGGTGTCTGATCAGAAATGTGTGTAGGTAATTGGGGACACCAG